ACCCTCGTAATCATTTCCTGAGCTGATGATTAGTAAGTTCAGTTTCCTGTCGACTACAACAAAGACACCTTTAGTCTTGATAGGTGCACAGGAGGTCGCTATTATTTTGTAATGTTTTCAAATGGGACTCCTGTATAAAGACTATATGTGCTTTTTTCCTATGTAAAAATCCAAGCATATAGTTCTTTTGATAGGTTCGTTGGCACCACAAATATTCCATGATAAAATATTGTAGTTATCCATAGAATTTGTACAGAAAAGAGATGCCATTCAGCAAGTGCAATATAAACATTCTATACATGCTATAATTTAAAGAGTATGAACTGAAGCAATGAATAACAATCAAGTAACTTAAACACAACAGAATAATTATCACATAAATTATTTGCCCCCCAGGCAATGTAACATAATGTACAGTAAAAACAAGAACGTTGAAAAGACAGAGAAAAAAGCAAATAAAAGTAAACAAACATTTGTTAGCCTGTCAGGAACAGAGTGTAAAGTTCCTGCAAGGGCTAGCCAAAACCCACAAGAAAAGCACATTCCTTGGAGAACACAAACACAGCCACAGTCATTTACTCTCCATAAATCATTATCTGTAAACAAACATTTCACAACTGTTTCCTGTCAGCATCATGAATACTGAACTAGCAACTAAATGCTATGTGTCAGCTACCGATTGCAGCATAATAGACCACTGTAGTCGTGCGTCATTCTGTAGTCCTCATTATGCCCATATTAGGAACTCCGGGTCTGAGCTCCGTTTCTCTATGGCCAGAATGAATAGGGTTTTTCAAAAAATCGCCTCTATCGCCCCCCTGTGTTAAATATAAATGTTCAGAACCCGATTCGTTTTGTCCTGTGAACATTTTTCTCCTGAATACCACTGGATCCTCCGAATTACGAGGTCGTTAAAGAGCTATAATACTAATATCGCTACATCAGTTGATCAGGCGGTGATAACCTGCTTAAGGAGGCTGCCAGTCTAATGACGTGAATTCAGTGCGCAGTAGTTTTAGCTCACATGTAGCAATATTTATATTTCAACTCTTTAACAACCTCGTAATTCGGAGGATCCAGTGGTATTTGGGAGAAGAATGTTCACAGGACAACACGAATCGGGTTCTGAACATTTTTATTTCACACAGGGGGCGATAGAGGCGATTTTTCTAAAACCCTATTCATTCTGGTCATAGAGAAATGGGGCTTAGACCCGGAGTTCCTAATATGGGCATAAGAGCATGGCGCCGACTACAAAATGACGACACGATTATAGCGGTCTATTAAATGCTCTGTATAAAACGTTGAGCGTCATCGGGAGTGAGGAAAATGCATTACTCCGAGTTAAAAGTTACCTTAAGCGTAGCAGGGTAGATGAGAAAGCACTGGATGCCCTTCTGCTTGAGAGTAGCAAAGCAAGGAGAAAAATGCCTTATGTTTCTGAGCAGTGGATCCGGAGAAATCAGCGAAGAGAAAGAGACGGGATTGACCATGGAGAAAGTTGGCAGGTGACTGCCTGAAGGCCTTCATAGTTGCCATCTGATTGTTGTATCTTAACAGCTTAAAAATGAGAGTTCTCGGTTTGGAAGAAGAGCCACCTTCAGCATCGTAAATGCGGTGCGCCCTCTCTATTTCGATGGCGCTTGCGTTGTTAGCTGCAAGTGAGGGAAACCAGATTGGAAGCTGGCGCTGAAGAAAGGAGATCGCATTGGAACCCTCCAATCCTTCAGGAAGGCCAACTAGCCTTAAGTTGTTCCGACAGTTGCGGCCTTCCAGCTCCGCAAGTTGATTCTGTAGTTTGGTGAGTGCCGACGTAGCCATCTTTATGTCTTGTCTATCCTGGCACTGAGCTGCCTGTACGTTGGTTAGAAGTGAAACTGAAGCGGTCAGGGCGGTTAGCTCTGTCTCAACATTCAGTCAGTCAGTGCAGAGAGGTCATCTTTGCTCACGTTAGTGGAGGCATCGCATGGAAGAGCAGAGGCGTCGTCAGCCTCGAAAAGTTGTTTCTTCGCCTTTTTTCTTTGCCACCTTAGATCGAGGGGAAGGGGTAGATGGAGTCATCTCCTCGACGGCCCTTTTCTCTGAGAGTTCCATCATCGGTTCATCCATCCATCCATCATCTAAACCGCTTATCCTTCTGGGTCGCGGTGGGGTGCTGGAGCCTATCCCAGCTGTCATTGGGCGGAAGGCAGGATACACCCTGGACAGGTCGCCAGTCCATCGCAGGGCAGACAGACATACACATACATTCACACACACCTAGGGGCAATTTAGCATGTCCAATCAGCCTGACTGCATGTTTTTGGACCGTGGGAGGAAACCGGAGTACCCAGAGGAAACCCACGCAGACACGGGGAGAACAGGCAAACTCCACACAGAAACGGCCCTGGTCGCCCAGCCGGGAATCGAACCCAGGCCATTCTTGCTGTGAGGCAACAGCGCTACCCACTGTGCCACCGTGCCGCCATCATCGGTTCAATGTAGATTATTTAACGAAACAGAAATTTGTTCACAGTTATAGAAGAAAAGGTGAAAGTGGCTATGCAGAGCAAGGCTTAGGTAGCCATCTTGGCCGGAGCCCAACCGGAAGTTCTTTTTCTCTTTTTTTCTGTCCTTCTAGTGGCCTAGCCATCATGCACATTTTAGAGTATTGCATAAATACATTAAGTGGATTATGTACAAGTAGAGCCTGGCTGATGTGCCAGAACCTCACGACTGCACCATTTAAGGTGGAACGGGAAAATTCGAAGCTGGTCAATAGGAAGCTGACTTCAGCCTTGTGCCTAAATAAAGAGAGGGTAAATTTACCTACGACTCGCGTACAGTGGGTGCACTGGAAACTTTTAAACCAAAAGGAACACGTACATTAATGTGAGTTATCTAGCTTCTCTCAAATGTGCAGTGTGAGTGTGTGTGCTGTAATGGCTTTATTTTGTTAGAGAGCAAAGCGCATTAATATGCTGTGAGACGTTATGCACGTCTGAAAAAGGAGTTCCGGTGTAGTTGTGAGTAACATGCCATGTTCAGATGATCAAGGTCAGCTAAGAACCAGTCACTACTACTCATTGGGTAGTTACTTTGCATTTCCACACTGTATCTAATAAAACTCTTCAGATATGAACATGACAGGCCCTGATAAGCTATTTAAGCAATTGCTTATAGCAATGGTTGCTGAGCAGAGATTGGAGGGTTAAAGAAAATAAGGCAGAGCTTGGCAGACTTTGATTGGTCACAATACAGTGACAGCTCTCACAAAAAAACAAATCAAATTTCATTATCATAAAAAATGACCGGACCTCGGTGCCCTTATAGCTAGTAAAGGCCATGGTCGGGCTCCACATACAGGTTTTTAAATCTTATTTATGTGTTGTTAGTACAGTAATTGCATTACTGTTACTACATTAAGTACAATATGTATAGACTTGAATTATTTGACTATCATGACCAGTTTGACCATCATGACCAAAGTATAAAATGAATGGTTATTAACATACAGTGGGTGTACACTTATGACATATATAATATTGCAAATATTATTATTATGGTGTACCACAGGTAAAATACTTGTATATTAAAGGGTATATAGCATGGAATGCTAAGCATGCATTTGAGTACACCTTAGTAAAGAATTAAAGTACATACTTTAGTATACTGAACCAGTAAAGAATTTAGCAAAAGTACTTGATTATGTTTCTTGTAAATATACTAATTATATACTGGAATTATATTATATATTGTTATAACTTATATATAACAGACACATTTTTCACAAGGGTCCTGTTATTACTACAGTAATAATATCTGAGTTGGTAAGTTTCTTGTCTTTCTTTTATTTATGTCAGTGACTCTTTTAGTGTATTGTGTTTCTTTTTTTCCATGTGCTTTTGTTTGTTTTGATTACAGCTCCTCCCTCGTTCTGCCCCGTCATCGGTCCTTATCTGTTCCTAGTTTCTGGCCCCGCCCACGTTTAGTGTTCTCAGGTGTCCCTTGTCTTGAGCTTTTGTATATATACCCCTTTGTTTCCTTTGTTCATTAGCCAGCTTTGTTTATGTTCATGGTGTTCTTATTTTCCTGCTTGTGTTTTCTTTTCATGTGCGTAGCTTTAGAATTTTCTTGTTTTCATGGTCTGTTTATCTTCGTTATTAGTGTCATTGAGTTTTCTTGTTTCAAGTTTTTCACGGATTCCCGTACCCTTTCTCTGCCTGCCTGATATTTCCTGGAAAAGATTTTAATATAACTAATTTGCATTTGTGCCCCATCTCCTTCAACATTGTCAGCTTCCATGTTTTTTTGCTCTTTGGGTTCCCTACAGTTGCGGTCGTTTCACTTTTACATCACTGTCTGTGTTTACACGCAAAGATTTTTGCCAATCCAATTGAATACACTCCGATTGTAGATTAAGTCTGAGGTGTTTATATGCACGCCTTCCCGAACAATCTGATGGAAATTTTCCGTTTACATGCACAGTACAAGTACTCTGAGCCAAAATTACAGTGAGCTGAGCACTTCTGTTGTCCTTATAAGCTAAATCACTGTGATCAGATAAGCTCACCTCCAACATCTCACAGAATAAAATCTTGACAAGACAGAACTCTACCCCACCTGCGAAGCTCCCTCACCATCCACCTGTCATACCAAAGAAATAACTTTCTGAACAGTCCTATTTCACATCAGAAGAACATGACCCTTTCTGACCACAGGGGCTGCTGCACGTCTTGTTTAAGCTTTGATCATGTCCAGACACTATTGCAATACTGCAGTTTCCTCTACACTGGGCATTTACTGACACCGTGTTTCCTCTACAGAGCATTGGCAGTGCTGTTTGCCTGGCTTATAACCAGTAATACAACTCAATCAAAATGTGAAAAGTGTTCTTACTAGTGAACTTGCAATACAATTTCACTGGTTCTTATTACTCAGTATTGCAAATCTGAAGATATTTGACCCTATTAACTGCTCAAAACAAACGACTGGAATAATAATGAAAACCCGAGTCAGAAAACTGGACATTTTGTAATTTTATAACACACCACCGAGAGCACAAACAAAGTTTAAACAAGCACACATTAAGGTTAGCGTGATCTATCAATACACAACAGTTAATAATGTCATAATCACCGAACCCAGTGTGAATGAGTAATGTTAATACAAAGCATTACTGTAGAAAAAGCCCATCACCTCTTATATCAATACTGGTTTCTGAAGTCAAAAGCTGCAGTGAAAAAAACAAACAAACAAAAAAAAAAAAACGTAAAACCACATAAATTATTCTCGTGATTTGAAATCACAAAGCACTTAGTGGTTGGCAGCAGTAAAGGAGCATTTCTTTCAGTGCAGTGCTGAATTGTTGGCTACAGTGCCACAGTAGAGCGGCCGGCAAACATGCAGGGCTTGAGTTTTTCTCTGAGCGTTACTTTGGCTCACAGAAGCTTGGGTATCAGATGGCTGGCAAGGAGGGCCAACAGCAGGGTCACGCCGACGTGCTGAAAGATACCACACGCTGAGCAAATGAGCGCATTTTCTGGAGGACACAAATTCGGAAAAAATAGTAAGAAAGAGATATATTCATACAAACATTCATCACTGCATTCTATGGCAATTCTATAGCAAATCTAGACTGAAACATTACACAATGTGTTGCATTGCAACATGAAATGAAGCAAAGTGAAATAATTCATGTAAACACAGCAGCCACATGTAGCCAGTTATGTGGTAACATAACACCTGGATACATAGTATAACGGAACCAATTATTTTATTTTAAAATATTTTTCTTTGCACAGATTTGCACTGTTTTTTTTTTTTTTGTGAAAGATATCACATGAATAAAAAAATAAGAGTTTTGTCATTGTCATTGTCTTGGCTATGTGTTTCTTCCTGTAGGCTTCTTCGAGAAATCTGGCACTTATAGATGGTATTCAGTTAAAAACTGTTCAATGTAAAAGGCCCATATTCTACATTTATTATTTTTCCTGAGGCCCTAACATTTGTGTGGTTTTAGGTATCAAAACATCATCATAAACTTTTACATGACGTTTTCCAACCTTATTTTATCCCTTAGAATTCACTTTCCTTTGATGGGCTGCCCTGTACTGTGCCTTGTGCCAGGCTGAAATGCTTCTTATAACTTTTAAAATAATGAGCGGGGCTGAACTGCTGCAGACTGTATGTAAATTAGTTGGTTCTCATGACTTCACACAAACAGAGGAAAGGCTGTTTTTGCAGCTTGGTTTCCATATGTGGACCGTTATGGACTCAGGAATACAGACTGGCATGGCTTGGAACGTCAACAGTGTTTATATACCACACCAAACTCTTTTATTAAAAAAAAATAGAAAAATTTGGTCTTCTTTGATATGGGCCCTTTACATCTTAGTAGCTTTTAAAGACACAGAAAGCACCAGTCCAGTGCCTGTGTTAGTGTTTTAGAAAAGAAAAAGTCACCACTTGTGCCATCTCTACTCGAAAGTGAAACAACTTTTCCGTACTCTCAATAATGACTAAATGCTTTTGTTGTGCAGTGCATTTCCTTCAGGAAAGCGAATGACTCACTCATGATTTTTTAATTGACAGTTCTATATGACACTAATCCGAAATCCAATTATGGTCAGATAGAGCAGATAGTGAAGTCACAAGAGACACACTGCAAATGGATGTAGATGACACAGACAAGAGGGAGAAGGGAGGATGCTACAGGAACATAAACAAACAACAGGAAAAAAAGGCAGTGCTAACCTGAATACCTGTTTGACAGAAGTGAAAAAGTAGAGCATGGTCATTTTAAAACGATGGCCTTTGTTGATATTGTCAGCATCATCTGAAATTTGGTGAACATCAACCGGAAAGGCTAACATTGAATTAGGCTATATATCGATGAAACCAGCATGCCGGTACTGATGTTATGCAACAATATCGATTTTGATAGCAAGGCCTTATTTTTGCTTCTTCCTCAATTAATTTGGTTAAGAGCTTTTCTTTCTTTTTTGTGAGAAGCAAGTAGTGAATTAATTAAACAGGTATTCAAATTTGTGTGGCCTTAGTGAATTTAAAGAGGAAGAGAGACAAGACAGGAAAAGAGAAAGAGAGGTCAAAACCCCTTTAGAAAGCCTTACTCTTGTCCACAGTCACAGTTTGTGACACAGATGGAGTTCCCACGATAGTACAGTTAAATGTCTGGGACTTGTCACTTGAAAAGCCATTCAGTGTCAGCTTGCAGCCCTTTCCAGTTATCTCTGCACTGGCCCGATTCTTGTAAGTGGGGTCCTGCTCTATTCTTGTATCAGAACTGGCCACCACCTTGCCCTCTGAGTAATACGTGCATTTAGTGTTTGAACTGATCTCTGTTTTGCCCAATATCACTAAGTTGTTTTCCTTGGTCAGACATGACTCTAGAGTCATCCCAGTCTGAGCGCTGACCATGCCTGAAAAAAAAAAAACAAACAAAAGCAATTAAAATGTACCTTTGCAACAAATCAGCAGTTATTACTTATAACTAGTTACCATTTGTATGATGATAATTGTACATTGTAAATCCCCCTACTGGTCTACCTTACAGTAAACCAGATGGAAACACCTACTTATACACACTTGTTGCAATACAGAGTTGGTTTCTCATACAGGGATTAGAAGACTAGGCTTAATCCCTGCCTGGGAAACCAACCCATACTGTTTTCCTAAATTAGATCATTAAAAATGAGGTCTTCTAATGGCTTCCTAGTTTATCTTTCACCAATTACATAGTTTTATATTGCTGATTTAAGTGCATTTGGCCTTTTTAAAAAGTATGCTTACTCAATTAATCCTCAAAGTAATCGGTAGATTATTACATTACTTAGATCTTTGATAGCAACGGCCTTAATTATGCGGTACACAAAACAAACTTCAGCACAAAGCTTTATGCTACCTTATGTAAAGAGCATTAAGAAAATTTAGGATTAACTGGCTTAGTGTGAATCAAACTAAATAAACTAAACAAATTACACTGGATGCTGGCAAAGCCAGTACATCTTAGTATATCTATTGACGTCTTTACTTCTGATTGTGATAAGAAATGCTGTATTTATATAGTACTCCATCTTCTTTGTGGCTGAGGATAATGGAGAAGAGACACAAGTGTTGTCTTACCCAGCAGACAGAATGAAACAATGATAGTGTATGAGATCATTATGGTTTTGGAACACACGGTCAAGCCTGCAGATGGAACACAAGAGAGCACTTACAGATCAATATTGCTTAATTGCATTTTAAGACCTAGAGAACATGCATACAGCACAGACAGATAGATAGAGGGCGCTGGCAGAAGTTGCCATTTAAGACTTGACAGATTTGCAAAATGTTTGAGCAACACGCTCAACTTGCTTCTCTTTGTCAGCAATTTCTGCTGGCAGCAAATCAAGGTGGCTAAGAGGCTAGCCACACTTCAGGCCAAATATGTGGCTTTGCTGCATGCTGAGTGGAGTAAAATAACGGCGCCATTTTCTAATGTTAGTCAGACCTGTGATTTCCTGTAAGCATCCTAGCACAAAGATGATCATTAAATGGTAGAGCAAGCATCGCACTGAACACTCTCTCAATTGCTTAATCACAACACTGAAATGCTTTAGGGAAACTGGGCCCAGCTGGGTTACAACAGACATGTGGGTGGGGTCAACCCTGGCTAACGGACACTTTTCAAAATGTTGAAATGATTAGGGGTTTTAAGGCTACCTCGCAGAATGCTTTTACACAGGTAACTGTTTTACAGAAGTTTTGAGACCTGGTAAAAAAAAAAATTGTGGTGGAGAGGCAGAAATGCATTCTTTATTTACACATACACTGAAGTTTCCTGGTCTTTTTGAACAGTAAAGAAAGAGGTTATATTTGCACTGTAGACATCGCAATCCTGGATCCTGTCACCACCACTGAAAAGGGAGATCAGGACATTTTTTGGCATCATTTCGCTTCAATCTGCTCTGAATGAAACTGTTCACATCTCAACGACTTGAATGTACGCTGTCAGAAAAAAGGGACAGTGCAGGTACATTTATCATTCATTAAGCTACAAACAGTGTAAATGTACCCTCAAGATCCATTTGTGTACCTTAAATAAGGTTTCCTCATTGAGAAAAATACATATTTACTCCTTTTCATAACCTAATGTTTAAAATAGGACAATAAAATAAAAAGCCTGGACACAAGACAGGGCATGTGGGCTCAGCAGAACTTTAAAAACGTATTGTTATATGGTACAAATACGTTTTCTAACTAAAAGTACTGAAGACGAACTCTTGCGGGCACCACCCCAGTGACTGGGGTGTTTGGCACCTTTTTTTTTTTTCCTGAGAGTGCAAAAAAGGTTGAAAAATCTATGTAATTCCCTGATTTTACAAACTAAAGCCCACTTTAATACTGCTTTTTATTGTCTTTATAAGGTTTAGCACGAGCAGTACACTCAAACTGAGTCTAAAAGAGGAGCAGATTGCAGATAACCCACATGTGAACGCCTGTGTTTCTATGCTGCAATTAGTCAATGTTCCCTCTAACCGCGCATGACTGTACTCGCCTACATTCCACAAAAATTGTTTGGCGAGAACTCAGCTAATTTAAAACAGTGGTCACCTTTTTCACGGCAAAGCTCGGTTTAAAATAATCTCAAACACGTATTAATATGCCTAAAACAGGCTTTCGACACTTTTAACAGGTTAACACGATGTACAACAATGAAAAAAAGTAATCCGTTACTTCATCCAAATGTGTGGGCTACATTATTTCTACCACACGATTAGAATATATTGCACCAACACAGCCGCTGCCACAAGAAAACTGAAAAGACTGACAAAACCGTGCTGAAAATAGATGTTATTCATGTGGAAACGCTGTACATTTTTAATCAATGCCTCTTTTTTTCAGCGCTCAAAGCACAACGTTAAATCCTTACATGACCTGCCAGAGGACGGCTGAGGAGAAAAACAACGTGCTGACCATGTTAGTAATTTCCATCTATTCTGTCTTACTTTGAGAGATTCTGGTATTTCAGGTAATGCTTTGAGGTAAATGCAGGCTTTTCTGACCTTATGACTTTGTTCCCGTCGGATGTTGAAGCTGGACGTCCGCTGCGCTCGAGTGCTCCGGTCCTCTGTTTTCACTCCTGAAAGGGAGGAGAGATGGAGGGGTTGTGCTACACGCCCTCTGCACAACTCGCTGTGTCATCGCACAAAGTATTGACCAGCCTCACTCATTTCCACTCCAAAGCTCTCGAATTTTCCATTAGTGTTCACAGAATATACAGCAGCTGCTTTAAAGTCAGTACCAACAGTAGAGTTTAATAAGAAACCGCCTCACTTTTGTAAATCTGAGGTAATATGGATTAGCATGCTAGTGAGGTATCACTGAGGGATATCGCATCATCAGCATTTCCGTCTACTTTTAGTTTTATGATTACTTTTCTACTTTTTTGGCTATGATTAGCTTTGAAAGCCAAAGTGAAAACATAAAATTGTTTAAAAAGAGTAATGCATTAAATGAAACAGTCACTGTGATTAAAACTGGGCCTAATGAACCTGATGCAAGCCTGGGTACTGAAAAAAGCTGTACAATGTATGTATTTACATATACAATGTATATATCCATATATTGCTGAAATATATTGAAGAAATCTTTGTATCTCCATTTTTGTCGTTTTTCAGTTCCTGATATAATTTGAAAATGCCTTTATCCTTTACATTGTGTGTAAATTTCAGGAAGAATGGACCAAAGTAAACGGCCTAAAATGACTTGGAAAAAAAGTCTGGTTCCATTGACTTACATTAAAAGTAAAGTAGTTTTTATTCCTTTTCCTGTAAAGTTGTCATTTTGAAGATACAACCCAGATAGCGAAAATGATCTGGCCCGGATCCGGCACAAATCATCCACAAATTCCGACCCAGGTCCGGAAAACAGCTCTGGCCCTGTGTCCTTTTGCACAGTGGGCCAATACTGGTACAGTTCTGATTTGTGGATTTGGGCCAACACTGTCCTAGCACTAACCAGTTCCCAGTGATTTCTTTACTAATACAGCCCAAATCCGGGCTACATCCATATCCTCTTTTTACATCTGGATCAGTAACTGTCCAGTGGCGTATACCTCCGGTCCAGATCTGCACCTCCTCCAGCCTGCATCCGCACTCCTGCTGGCCTGAATCCACATCTCCTCCGGCAGTTTTAATTTTTCCTTACATGATATAATTGAGTAATTTATATTAGCACTTGAAAGTATTTAATCCAACTACAAACTAAATAATACTTATTTAATTTTATTGTAAAAGTTGAAATAACTAGATGGTTTGTTTCTCTGTGTTAAATATACCATGGTCCTGGACTGTCCGTTCTGTATATTTTAGTGTTTTTTGTCTCCCATGCGCCCACACTACTCAGGTGTTGTTAAATACATTAGCTGCATCATGCATGTCAAGGAAAACAGTAAAATATGCAGGGCAGGGGTATTCTAAGACCAGAGTGGGGAACACACATATTACTTCACAAACAAAATGTATTTCTTAATAAATGTCTAATTGCAGAGTTGGGAGATAACATTAAACTTTGGTGGTTTGACGTGAAATGATTAATTGTAAAGAAACTTACTGACTCTTACTGGAGCGTATTCCTTATAATGGTGGTGACAGGAACCATGGGTTGCCATGACTACAACTCAAATACTACAAATAGCCATTTTATTTACTATCTAAAACCACCAGTGAACCTACACGTGTCTTCTTAGTTTCATATGGAATGTTGATGTAAACAAGTGGGACACCTGCAAACATTATTTTGAGACCATATTGCCAGATCCTTCTAATGGATCTAAAAATGTTTTAGACCTGAAATCTTCTCCAAACCGTGGTGAAACAGTGTCTCAGGCATCAGGGAGTGTATTCATAAACATTTGTTGTAATAACTTGCTGTGAGGGAGCTTTTAGCAGTTCAGACGTCTGGTTCCAGTGTGTGTTGAGCTGGTCTGAGTGGATCAGAGCAGTGACACTGAGGTGTTTAAAAACTCCAGCAGCACTGCTGTGTCTGATCAACTCACACACAGCGCAACACACACTAACACACCACCACCACGTCAGTGTTACCGCAGTGCTGGGAATGATCCACCATCCAAATAGTACCTGCTCTGTGAGGGTCCATGGGGGTCCTGACCACTGAAGAACAGGGTAAAAGGGGGCTAACAAAGTATGCAGAGAAACAGATGGACTACAGTCTGTAATTGTAGAACTACAAAGTGCACCTATATAGTAAGTAGAGCTGATAAAATGGACAATGAGCATAGAAACAAGGAGGTGGTCATAATGTTATGCCTGATCAGTGCATGTCTGATATCCATTTAAAGTCTGATATATATAATTATTTATGTTTTTATTTTTGAAATATACTAAGCATTACAATCAGATCAATGCGTTAATAAACAGGTAAAATTCATTTTTCATGTAATCTGTATCAGTACTGAATATCTTTATTTTACCTGCATAAATGAACTCTTCAATCACAACACAAAATGTCAGTTAAGAACAGTTACAAAACAGCTAAAACCAGGAACAATTCAAAAACTGTAAAATACAATATTTATTGAAAACATTTAGCTTCTTTTTTTTTTTTTTAATGTTTTCCGAAAGTGAATTATTAACGCTCTGTGGTTTGGCGAGCTGTAGATGACCTGAAAGAAACAAAAGGAAAGGAAAAAAACTACTTAGAAACTCAATTAGTTCATAATTGTTGTATGTAATCAGGAAATGCACTGACCACATGTTTTCAAGCTCTCACAAAAGAGCTTCTCAAAAGCATATACACAGTGTGTATATACAAGTGAATTGATAGTAATTTCTACAAAAGACCAGAGCCAGGAGTATATATAATGTTCTTATTTTATCATTTGACTTTTATTCTTGAATTTCACTTTGTATTTTACTGATTTATTGTTTTTTTTGTGCTATTGCTTCCTTCAGTCCCTGTTTTTGTATATGCTTAGCTTTATTTAAAATGAGGGCCACCCTCAATGTACTTCCAAGCTTAAATAAAGGTTGACTGAAGACGTTACAGTAAGAAATGTCTACCTGGCAAACAGACTCACAGGCTAAACTAATAAGAACTGCTGGGACAAAAACATGCTTTGTGTTGATTAGATAAAAACACTAAGTCAACAAAACTGCAAGGAAAGGACATAATACTTGTTAAATAACTGAAAATGGCAGTTCTTAATTTTGTTCAGGTAACCCTTAAGGGCAGTGTAGGGAAATCTGATTTCTGTATTACCATCCTCTCTGCCCTACTTTTCTGTTATTAAACAACCACAACACAAAAAAACTGCAAGAATTCTTTTGGCACTATGAAATAACATTGATCAGCGACTGGTTTCAGTGTGCGTGAGTGAAATTACATGCTGGCCCTTGGGCTTAGAAGTATACGGTAGTGACATAATCGCCAATTCATCTCTGTGGCAATGCTACACATTGCCACAGAGACATCTGATGATTTGGCACACTTCAGACCGTCCAATAGACGTTAAGGAAGTCCGAGCCAAATGGATACTCACTCTTTTTCCCTGACATTTTCATTGTCCACTTTTTTGCAGTAGTGCTGATCAGAGACTGGTTTCAGCATGCGCAAGTGAAATTACCTGCTGGCCCTTGGGCTTAGAAGGTATGCAGTAATGGTATAACCACCAATTTATCTCTGTGGGGCAATGCAACACTTTTCCGCAGTATGTCTGATGATTTGGCACATTTCAGTTCATCCAACAAGTGAGAGACAACGTAGAGAAAATGAGAAAATCAGAGCCAAATGGCTACTCTAATAAACTGACCGCTCTGCATAAGCTCTATATAACACATTCTATCAGAGCACTCCACAATATTATTAACGGCACAAACTTCATTGCCAATAAAGAAAATGTTGTTTCCTCCTGATATTTTAATTGCCCACTTTTCTGCATACATCTCCTGGTACTGTCTTTTCACTGAAGGAAGATTTTGGTTTAGAAGTGGTGTTGTTTTGGACATTTAGAAGTATTCTGCTGCTCTGATACCCTTCTAAGAATCTGCTTGAGGGGACTGTGTGCTTTTCCTATTCAGTATTTAAACTTTAAACTTATTAAACTTTTTCAGTTTATGAAGAAAATTCTCATAAGGAAAGGCTGATATGTTGTCAAGACGTCCATGCAACATAACATCTTGTGGAATATGAACCAAACACACTGTACATTGTAAACAATTTCATGCTGGCCATATATTTCACCGAAATGACTGACAAAAGCTCTCCAGTAATGTCTGTGCATACAATGCATGGATTGATGACAGATGTGGGCTTATAAGAATAGAGATGCTGGCAAAAAGAAGCATGAAGTTGTTGTACATATTTTCAGCAATCAAAGAGGCCAAAACTACAGGACCACTGTAGAGGAGAAATTCCCTGAATTCTGTTGCTTTCCAATGGCCAACATCACTCAGTGACCTCAGTCGTCTGGCAAATTCCACTGGCACATAGGAGTGTATTTCTCTCAGACGGTCTGAAATTCTGTTCACATTCTTAGAGGGTAATCTGGTTATCAAAGGGCCTCTCAACCACATTAATAACAACTTTCGGACAACCCCCAAACAGACGAGATGCATTTAGTCCAGAGGGAACTGGGATATCATGCCTACTCTAGATCCCTCAAAAGCATGGTGGTGTTCCTCATCATGCCTCTCTTCTATGTCTGAAAGTGGTTAAGGGATATGTCATTTTTCCATCCACACGCCGCCCAGGCTGTTCACATTTATCACACCCGTGATAGCCATTATGTGCTTTTGTGTTCTTAACAAATGATCTGAGAAAAAGTCGTTTTCCTTTGAAATTAAAACCTTTCTCTAAGTCTTGGAGCTCTTGAACAAAGTCTCTTATGAACTCAGCAGAAGAATCTGGTTTTCTTGTCGAATAAAACAGTGCAATTACTGCTGGTTCTGTCATCTGATGGCTGATTAACAATCCAAGAGTTGGCCACATTTGCATGCTGAAGGTTTTGAATAATGGCAGTCCATCTATGTTTATTTGCAGCATCAACATACAGTTCTCAGTAACAGTTTGTGCAATCTCAGTCAGCGTCTTTTGGAGTGGATTCAAAATACCAAAGTAATGGTACAGTCCGCCACATTTTTCCTCAATTTGATATT